TTTTTTATTATTAACTTTTTTTTTGTAAAACTTTTACCAGCATATTCCTGACATTTTTCTGATTAAAATGAGATCGAACACGACGTAATTCGCAACATATTTACTTGATCATATATCGTAGAACACGAACTAAAAAAAGATGCACGGTACATATCATCCGAATTATATCGTGTTTGGTAATAAAGTAATTCAGAAATCTGTATTACTTTTACAACCACAAGGAGTTATTACTTTTTCCTTACCGTATCGGGTTAAATTTACATTGTTGTTACGCTACCAAATGAGTATTTTCCTTTTATAGTGTATTTTCTAAAGGTGGCACGCTACCTTTACTATTTCTACCTTTACTATTTTCCAATAGCACGACGAAACAATTGTGAAACGAATCTAAATCATACGTCCTCTCTCTTTCAATTTGCAACTTTAATATACAATATTTGCGACGAAAGAAACTGATACGCATTGGAAAATGGACATAATTTTTCTTTCGATTGGGTATGGATAAGAAGGGATCGAGGATTTCTTTCAAAGACCCCAGCAAGACTTTCGGAATGGCGAACAAATGCAGAGCGTCCACTGGAAGGGGTCACGAGGAGATGTTTGTGCAATTAGCCCGATAGAGTGGGATAATTAAGAAACTCGAGCTGGTACGTGTACCGATCGACTTCAATAGCATTCCTCGTACATTCCAGCCCTCGTGAATTGATAGACCCCGAGCCAAGTATCGCAGAGCCTACACAGGACGGCGCGGCGTGGAGCGTCGAACGTCGAACGTTGAACGTCGAGCGTCGAGCGTCGAGCATGACACGGCGCAGCGATTCGCTATTGTACCGGATTGCAATATGCGTGCAGCCAGCGCGTGTCGTTATACGACGATACACATTATGCGCCACGTGCATAGGCTCGATTGCTTGCATAATCATTGGACAGGATATTTAGCGGGAAGATGACTCGGCTACGTAACGTCGGCATTTCGTGCGCGAAATACCGCACGGTTCGAGTCCCTTTAACGGTCATTCTCGCAAACCCTTTGGGCTACTTACATCTCCAACGGAACTATGTCATCCTCTACGCGACATTGCCATTTTAAAGTACAAAGTAGTTTTAGTAGATTTTAAGTAAAGTAGATTTTAGTAAAAGTAAACATAAGAAGAAATCGTATTTCGAATATAACAAAAATATGTTTTTCTTAGCTTCGTGACGTTGGCACCCCCAAATGCAAATTTTGATAAAATCAAATTACATTCATTTGTCCACCTTTCAGAAAAAAGTTACACCACAAACAAGCCATTTGAAGTCAACACATCTATATAGACCTTTTTTAGGATTTCCTTAAACAATGTGTTTTTCCACATTTTGTCCACTAATGTTTTTCGTTTGTCCACCCTCCAGAAAAAAGATACACTTCAATTAAAGAGAAGTTGCAGCGATACGCTCGGTTGCGGGTCATTTGTTCTCGTTTTGTCAATTTTGTAGCCAATTATTTCTGTCTGCGCAGAACAACTAACGTTACTTGTTATTTCTTTGTTTTTTAAATTAATATTATTGACATGTTACGTAAAAACGGGGAAAGAGAAATAATTAAAATATAAATAGAATGTTGCAATAGTCATTGCACAAACAATTTCTGCATTTTAACTGTTAATTTGCATCCAACGGTATATATCACATACATATTCTCCTTAATAATTATTAAATTGATGAACATGATACGTACGTGTAAGTAGCGATACTACATTTTCCTAATCTATGCATAACCTTTTTCTAAGGGTTACACAAACGAAAACTTCAATTGAAAAAACAAATAACGTTAGTGGTTCTGCGCAGACAGATATAATTGGCTACAAAATTGATAAAACGAAGACAAATGACCAGTAACCGAGCTTATCGCTGCCAACTTCTCCTTAATTGAAGTGTACCTTTTTTCTGGAGGGTGGACAAACGTAAATATCGGTTGGACAAACGAAAATACTTGGACAAACGAAAAACATTAGTAGACAAAATGTGGAAAAACACATTTTTTAAGGAAACCCTAAAAAAGGTCTATATAGGTGTGTTGACTTTAAATGGCTTGTTTGTGGTGTAACTTTTTTTTGAAAGGTGGACAAATGAAAAATGTGGTTGGACAAACGTGGACAAATCGTGGACAAATGAATGTAATTTGATTTTTATCAAAATTTGCATTTGGGGGTGCTAACTTCACTAAGCTGTTTTTCTTTTGTTCCAGAAAAAACATACATTAGTTGTAACATAAACCGCGTGGATTTTTATGCTTTTATGAATCCTTTTTTACGTAAATCGGTAAAATGGTAAAACGGTAAAACGCAAATTGGTCTTTTAGAAAGAGATTTTTTTATTTAAATTCTGACATTTTAAACAAAATAAAATGTCAACGGAACAATGTTAAACCATCGTCCCGTTAAAAATTTATTCGAGAAATAGCCGTTACGAGTTTTTCAATTCCGTGAAAGTAAAAGTTGGAGATATGATATTCATTTCGGATGCTCGAGAATTAATAGAGAATTGGATATTTTGCAACCTCATTCGCAAGGGTCAACAAAATAAATTCTAAGCCCTTTTGGGAAATCGTTTAAATTCATATGTAGCTATTATGAGGCTCATACTCTTTATCGAACATCGAAATCATTGAGAAATTTCAAGCAAAGCTACTCTGTATAATAACAAATTCCCCAAGTGACTTGTTACGTGTCACGAGTACTTGTTAAAAAAATAGAAACATATGTTCTAATATAGAGTTATGTTTCCTTTCCTTGTCCCATCTTATAAACTCCTTCTCGTAAGACGAAGTTTTGTTAGTAACTTTATTTCTAAAGCTTAATTTTGAAGGAATAAGTTGTGTAAGAATTCGGGCAGAGTAATGATACAGGAAAATCGATACTAAAGACTAACGGACTTTATCAAAAAGCTCTTTATTTTTAGAGACCAGTAGAATAATTCCAACTAAACTTAAAAGAAAAACTTAAAATAGAATTCGCACGTGGACCACGACCGTTCACTTTCACGGTTCGATGCTACTCTCTCCCCTTTTTCCTAATTACCATACAGGCGGGTGTATAATTGCCACATTTCGCGAATACGTCATCCGTATCGCGCTACGACTTCCGGTTCAGCTCGATACATCCCTCGATATCGAAGACAGGAAATAGGGTATCACTTAAAATTAGTATTATTCAATTAAAGACCGACGTTCACGGAAAACTTTATTATAAATTTCGTCGTGTCGTTACAAACTGATCTGCACGTGGTAAAACTGATAACTAGACTGCGGATCTTTATGCAAAATAAAATCTTGACAAACGTACCTACAAATATTAAACCTAAATAGGAATTTATTCTACTCTGCAAATATTATAATATGAACTTCACTCTCAATATTTGTTATATTCTTGCATACTGTGTTGCATTTAGTAGTTTCTTGCACATTCAAATTCCCTATAAATGCATAAAAATCTGCAGTCTATTGATAACTGGCTGCAGGATGGAAGACTAGGGCTTTTTATGGATTTCGGAAACTGAACTTTGGGCTATGACTTTATAGGAAAGAAAGGAGAGTTTGGAAGTTGAAGGGTCAGAAATGAGCGATGGTGAAAGTTAGTGATTTGATTAACCCTTTATTTACTGAATTTCTCACAAGTTTTTAAAATCTAGACGTCCATCTGTAATGTATTGCAATGCGAATGTTGGATGAATGTTTATATTTAAACCACTAGGTATGTTTGTATGTTTCATAGTTGTCAGTTATGTTTATCAATTTGTGTTAGTAATTTATTGATTACTTATTTATTGAATCCAGACGTAGATAGATTCAACTCCTTTAACTTTTCTTTTAATCCTGCCGCTGAATGTAGACTCATTTTTCATAAACCCAAGCTACACTCACTAACTAAACTTCTAAATCGTAACTTAAAGAATTTTTCCCGAACGTAAAACTCAAGTCAATCCCATTTCTGAAAATTTGTAAGGATATTTATTTAGAGGTTCGACGAAAACTGTCAAAATTCCAAGACAACACACAATATATCAGACAAAATCAAATCGCAATACGAATTGAATGACTAATCAATAAATTAATAACACAAATTAATAAACATAACTGACAACTATAAAACATACAGACATACCCAGTGGTTTAAATATAAACATTCATCCAACATTCACATTACAATACATTACACATCTTGGTCTTATATCATCTTATAGAGTTGTCTCTAACAAACTTCCAAAAAAAAACTTGTGTTGCCGTGGAACAATTAAAAAACGAACTCCATAGAAGTGGACTTGAAAGTCACAATAGGTTTCAAAACGTTTAATTAATACAGTACCATGAGAAAAATAACGGGACTTATAAAAAAATAGAATCATATGCTCTAATATAGAGTTATGTTTTCTTTCCTCGTCCGATGTTATAAACTCTCGTTCGTAAGACGTTTTGTTTATGCTAAAGACTGACTGACGTAACTTCTAAAAGTTTCCATTTTGTTATAAATCCGGCCAGTAAATAAAGGGTTAAAGTAAAGATTTGGGATAAGCCAGGAATGGGTAATGGAAAATATTTACTATGAGTCTATAACAGTGGGAAAGACAAAAGAAAAACAGATGCTTACAGTATCCGCGGTGTTGAGGCGTATTGTGACAGTGTGTTATCGGAGGTGTCGCAGGTGTAACAGTAGCAATAATACTGTTGCGAGCATCCTTTGGATGGATCCAAGGCCTGCTGGTGCTCGCGACCGGAACAAGAAGGTACCGAGAAGAAAGCGATCGGATCGATCGTCTGTCAAGCTGAAAGATTCGAACAAGACGCCTTTGAGTGCAGACGTTCCGAAACTAGCATATATATTTAATTACATTTCTATTGTACAAACCCTGTTACATAAAGTTACTTGTTATTTATTAAAGTTCTCGTTATGCCTAAACATAACAATATTATCCATTGGCATCATCAAATAAAATCCTACACTATAGATGAATGTAATTTCCAGGACAAACGCACATCCCTGGCCTGGCGCGAGTTCCTGCACTGCCGCGAGTTCACGGCCTGGCACGAGGAACTTTCCCCGATGCTCCGAGCCCGTTCACCCCCTACCTACGAGAACCGGACCCATACAGGAGGAATAAGCATCACGTTGGCAACAACGTCACCGCGAATTCGGTTAGCGGTGCCTGCAGCAACCCTAACAACACCGACCCGACCGCATCGCCCGCTTCCAGTACACACCTCGGGGCCACCGGTGGCTCCTCGGCTCATCAGGATTGCTACAAGCACAGCCCTCAACACGGCGGTGAGTCTTGTTTCTTCTTCCGTTGCTTCCGGATCCGTAGCTGTTCGTTCTCTGACCTCTCCTGTGGATCAAACGACCGGCAAGAATTTACCGGAACCTTGAACCAGTGTTGGTAATCATGATTACGATTATGATTGTAATCAAATGTTTCAGCGTTGCGATTACGATTACGAGTACAATCGTAATTATAAATTTTTCTGCGATTACAATTGTATTCGCAGATTTGTCTACGATTAACGATCGTATTTTCAGGTGTTTTCAGACATAGACATTTTTTTACTCAAAACCGACTTGAGATTCGTGTTTCTCACCCTCAAAAAACTTAGAAAACCATGTTTTCGTCAAAATCAAAAATTTAAAAAAGGTACCACCCTATGTAGGTTCTCTACCCCATTGGCATGAATTATGTTAACTGAAAATTTTTAATTTTTAATTTTGACGAAATAATGGTTTTATAGGTTTTTTGGGTGAGGAACACGAATCTGAAGTCGGTTTTGAGGCAAAAAATGTCTAGGTCTGAAAACACCTGAAAATACGATCGTAATCACAGAAAAATTTGCGAATACGACTGTAATCGCAATCAAATTAGTGATTACGATTGTAATCATAATCAAGTTTATGATTACAATTGTAATTGTAATCGCAACTCTGAAGCATTTAATTACAATCGTAATCCTAATCACAACTCGAAAACATTTGTTTACAATCGTTATCGTAATTATGATTACGATTATGCCCAACATTGCCTTAAACGCGGCTGCTTTCTCGGATTCGTGGTTCGCGTTGCAGGACGAACACGATAAACGCGTATCGGTCAAACTACATTCTTTGATATCGCTTAAAAGTTTATCGCAACAGTTTTTTCATCTCCTAATTCCCCGTAGAAAATTTTAATCTTCATATACAGCATGCAGCGTGACGTAGGTTTCAATGGACAAACTTGAAGAGCATATTCTACAAGTGGAAATAAGAAAGAAATGTTATATTAAGTTTGCTCAGAAAGGGCGACGGGAGATAGTTAGAATGGGTGACGGTAGATTTTACTTTAGTGAACGTTCAAAGGTCGAACGTGTTTATCTTATTTGTCTATTCATGTCATATTTACTATTTTGATATCATTTGCTGGTAGTGTTAATGACCAGTTAGATCAAGAATCGCGGTGAAAATGCTTGGAGTGTTCTCAAATGAGGAGTACGCTGGAAAAATGATATTACATCCGCGTAAAAATATGTAAGAATATGTTGAGCGCTCTGAGCTTTATACCCGCTACTCCCTAACTACCGCTCCCAACCGTTAGGTGGCTAGGAGGTTAGGTGGTCTACCCAAAAGAGAAGTCGCATGATATACAGTCAAAGATGGGCAAAACACTAGGCTTCGAATAAATCTAAAGTTTGCCCATGTGTTTGGCTCGTTTCCTTCTTTGGAAAATGTTCAAAAGAGGAAACGAGACAAACACATCGGTAAACTTCAGATTTATTCGAAATCTAGGGTTTTGCCCATCACTACTGTATACAATTTTTTTCATCCCGTGAATCGTGCATTTTCGTCTCGGCGTCGACTTCCAGAAATATAAGATTTTTCCAGGAAAAATATGCCCATATATCGTCGCATTCTGTCTCTGCTAGGGCCACCGCCTCTTTTTTTACTTTAGGGAAAAAACAGATCCTTTTTTTCCCCAAGGCCTTGAAGAGGCCCTCAGGGGTTTTAGCGGTGTTTTTGTAAGCTACAGTACGGGCTTAGCAACCCCGAGGTACCCGAGCTAGAAATGAGTTGTCAAGCGACAAAGAGATAAGAAGTTATAAATTTAAACGTATCCTGAGCAGGGAGGCGATCAGGTCTAACTCCCGTATAAGGGCAAACTATTATAATTTAAATGAATGCCTAGCGAGGAAGGGTATTAAAGAGTATAAGATGTGTGAATGCGGGCAAAGCGAAGAATCTATAGAGCATGTACTTTTCGAAAATATGTATTCACAGAAAAAGTGTAAACAGTCAGGCATGACTACACTATAATAAAGAAAAAGTGAAGCAAAAGAAAGGCCTTGAAGTGGCAATCGTGACATTCCAACAAGACCGTGCCTGATATGCGCGAAGTTTTTTTAAAATTGACGCGACATTTCATTGAATGAATTGAGGGAAAACGACTGACGGCAGATCGTCTCGATTCTTTTTGACGAGCCCTCTTGGGGGAAGAGGAGAGAAGGCGAGTGTACTGCATTCAAGTATACGGCGAATTTTATTAATGGGTCGAGACAAATGAGCTCAATCGTCCACTCCGATTTGTGAGTGAAACGAAACACGTATCGATTCCGTTTTTGTGTGCGAGACGGAGCAGAGGTCTACGCGACACCGATTTCTCGACGCGATTGGCTGCACCTCGAAACGAAACAGACCGATTAAAACGGCTCGTGTCGCGTTCGAAAGTTCCTCGAGTGAGAAATATCGAGCTACCGTTGCTAATTAATTACATCATTAAATTTCACGCGTGGATTCGAGTTTTATCTCGGTTCGCGAGTATCGATCGAGAGATCCGTTTGCTCGTTCGATAGCGGATATTCTCGTCATCTCCGACTCGCGACGGACATCCTCGTGGCTCGCGGAGTGGCTCGAATCTGTGTGCCAACCCCACCCACCCTCTTTCTGGACAGAGGGGAAGCGATGGCGCAGGATCGAGCATCGAGGAGAAGGAGAGGTCCGCCGTTTCGCGAGGTAATAGTTTCATACCTCGTTCCGGCTCTGCACCCTCTAATTCAACGTAATAACGACATTCAACCTGCCGTTTCCATCTCTTCTCTCGCTGATCCCCGCCCCACGACGCGGCGGTGCACGGTGCGACGTTGAATCTTCCTACCACGAGGCAAGAGTGTCCTCTTCTGGCATGCCGTTCTTCACCGTGGCTTGCGTTCTCGTTGTACGTACCGAGAATAATAGGTAGGCGAGTTAAGCGCGAAAGGGTTAACTCGTCGCGATAGGAACGAAACACCGCGATGAAGACGACGCTATCGATCGCAGTCGCGGATATTTTTGAAAATGTATAGGCGATGTTGTCGGTTGGATGTGCTTGATACAAGCAATTTCGCGTAAGAGCTGATCGGTAGCGATTCGAAGCGATATTTGGAGGCCGAGCAGGGTATTTGGTGGCGATAGTTCAAGACGCAAAAAGGCGGGAAAGGTCGGCAGCCACTTTATTTCTGCTCAGCTCGTCTCGCATCAGCGGTCTCGACCTGATCAAAGTTAAGTAGACGCGCCCCTGGCTGGCAAGACCTCTTTGAAGTTACGTTGCGGTTTCTCTTTGCCCTAATCTCCTCCGCCTCCGCCTCCGCCTTCGCCTCCGCCTCCGCCTCCGCCTCTGCCTCCACCCTTTCCGTCGATCAGCCCGGTGCTGCCATCGCATCGGAGCAAACTTCGTTGCACCCGTGTCACCTTCCTCGATCGGCCACCATTGTAATTACCTAATTTATCCGGGGCAGAGTTTCGCTTTCCTTCTTTGGCTAACGCAAGACACAGGACACGCAAGCCCGAATTCGATATAGCAAACAGGTTCGCAAGTAGATTGCAACAATTTTACGATAACAAAATAGCATCGCAATTATTCTCCATATCAAAAAGATGATTATCGTTTATTTGAATTTCACTTTCCTACGATCTTTCACTTGCGACGATACTTTTAACGTATGCGTATATCATTCGGAGTACGCCTAGAAAGAGAAGGAAATATATTCACGCGCCGTAATGTAGGAACGGGTGGCTCTTATAGGCAGCATAGGAGGATTATTCATATAGTAGTATTACATATATGGTATTCTTATATTTTTATCGACGTTTACGAAACCCACGTTTCTGTTGCGATGGACATGTTCGGATTAGCGCCATTCCGATATCGAAACGCAACAAAAATTCGTCATTCTTCGACCGTAGGATTCTCAGCCTTAATATCTTAACATGTCCGTTAATCTCTTTCACGGATTAACTTTGGCATTCGAAAATTCAGTTGTAGCAATTTTGCGTGAGCGTAATTTAGCCGAACATAGTACATACAGGATGCGACAAAAAATTTGATCTCTTAATAACTTTATTTTTTCGCTAAAACAAATTTTAACAGCTAGGGCTTATAAACCACACCTCTGCTTATAACATAATTGGGTTTGAAGTGGCCTCCTTGTGATTTTTTACAGAGCGTCAAACGTTTTCGTCATTAGTATTTTTATTATTACTATGAAAATCTGTTTCCATTCGTAGATTTACCGGGAAACGATTTCTCGACTTTGTTTAGGACAATTCGCAAAAGCTGTACAATGGAATTGTTGGTTTTGCAAATTTGCGATTCTCCGACAAGATCTCGATTTCGAGTGGTGTTCGCAGCGATGTTTGTATTATAGTATTTGTACTGTCCACAAATATGGCATTCACGCCATGTGCTACTTTTCACAATCGATATCTACGAATCTATGAAAATCCGCATGCTAGTAAGGTGGTTCTTTCCGAACTGTACTGTCAAAATAAAACTCAAATACAGAATGTATTAATGACGATATATTTTCTATAATTAAATTCTTAAATCATTATTTCATCACGATTTTTAATAAAAAGAAAGTAGTAATTGATACTGTTAAGTTGTAGAAATGAATGAGCAGTCATTTCCTTTGTACTTAAATCTAATTACATTTATTCGATATAAAGCTTATATCTAAATCACATGTTCATACTGCAATGGTTCTCAAGCAACAATCCTCGTGCATGGATCTGATCATGCGGAACATAAACTAAGTGGCAGCACCTTCTTAACCTAACCATGAAATACGAATTTACCCCATATCCAACAGATACAATTACAGTTGCAATTATTTTTTCAAGTATTTTTTATCCAACGTAGTAGTTGTGTAATCGAGTACGCGGCAACTTCGCACTCCAATTTTCGTCAGGTTTAACAAAATTAAACAATTTTTAATTGTTATGTTTAAAATTTTGATGCGCACGCTCTTTTTCAAAATATCGCGCAA